TTTTACAGCAGTGGCACTATGCAGTATTTGTCCTTTTGTGACTGAGCTATTTCATCCAGCATGATGTCCTCCAAGGTCACCAACTTTGTATAATATTTCATGAGTTCTTTGTTATTCAAATCAGTGTAGCATTCCATTGTGTGAATATACCAGAGTTTCTCTATCCTTTTGTTTGTTGATGGTCAATTGGCCACTTATTGACTCATGTACAAGTTCCTATAAGCACAATTAAGTTATCTGGGATTCTCAATGTAATTAATAATTTATTACGATCTATACAGTGGAATTCCTTTGCATAGCCAATAAACACATAGAAACACTTTCTGCCATTGTCTCTTTTCAGTGAAAATCCATCTGTTATCAGCTAAGATACTGACGTTTAGGTTTGGATAGTTGGGGTTTTTTTTTAACTGGGTCAATAGGTTAATTATTTCATTTTGCTTGAATCCACAATAAACACCATAGAGACAACAGTTGAGAAATGAACAATGTGTTGCATTAGAAAAATCTGCTGTCAGGGACCCTATAATGTAAAAGAGCAAGAATGTCCATTTAAAGACTAAGGTGTGTCTGATCCAAGCCAATGTTTGGGTTTTGTTTTTTTTTTTTTTTACTTTAGCTGAGATTTAATATGAGAGACAGAGTTGTATGTGGTAAACAGCACCAGGTACCTTTTGAAAAAGCTTTGGACTATTAAGAAACCATTACAAAAAGGAACTTTTGAAAACAGTACTTCCAAGACAGAAGGGCCTGTTAGGGGCCTACTCAACAATATTAACTACCTATCCATGACTACCATGTATTCAAGAGCCCTAGCCTGGAAATGCCAACCATTTGGTGAGTGGTGAGCACCACTTAGTGCATTATTTCCTAAGTGTGACTTTGGTAGTCCATTCAAGAAGGAGATACTGGACTTTCAGAAGTGACATGCCAAGTCTCCAATTTTTCACTCTAATAAAGGCAGTTTCATGTCACTGTGGAGGACTTAGGTATGCTTTTACATTTGACAGGGAGCTCTGGTGGCACAGTGGTGAGGAGCTGCACTGAAAACCCCAAAACACAAGGTCTGAATCCATCAGCTGCTCCATGGGAGGATGGGTAATCAGCTTCTGTTCGTTTTACTGCCTTTGAAGACCTGCTGGAGCGTCAGCTATGAGTCGGTTCCAACTTGATGGGACATAGCAACAACATATAAAGCCATGCTAAACTGATGCTGATTGTAAAAGCCAAACAACATATGGAAATGAAAGACATGACTACTGAGCAAACTGACTAGCACTTACTTTATGTAGAAAAGAACAAAAGTCAAACAATCCCTACAAAGGCTACTATGTAGAGAGAGACTATTACTATTACTGTTATTATTACTATGATTATTACTCTGTTAGGCAGTTCTGCCCCATAGTGTTGCCTTAAGTCAAAATGATGGCAACTATCAAGAAGAAGAACTAGCACAGAGGCTGAAGCATAGAAGATGCCAACAAATCAAAACTGCAGTAATACATCCAGACCAATATAAAAATGAATCCACTTGTGCTGGAATTAACAGTTTACTAAAAGGTGTAATGCATTGTGTGTGCAGAACATTGAAAAGTAACTAGTCATTTTCAAGTATAAAATGGCTACGGTTCAACTGAGACAGTACTGGGCAAAAAATAAAACCTGGCTGTTAAAGCTTATATAGCTTATATGGTAAAATTTCATAACTCACTGACTCTGTAAATGTAATAAAGCAGTAGGGGATCTGAAAGAATTCTCAAGGACAACATGCATTTAGAAAAGACAGAAGAATGCTCAGTGGTTATAATGTTGGGATTTCAAGTCCAACAAGGTGAGATCAAACCACATTTCTCTTAGGTACTGGCGTCCAACTTTGCTTTTTGTGATTTCTCTGGATGTCAGTAAGGTAAGAATATCTCACCTGCCTCTATGTGTGCTGTAAGAATTGAATGAACAGTGTTGTCAGCATTGGTTCTGAGCAGTGTGCTTGACTCCATAGAAAGCCTTGATAAATAACTTCATTTTCATCATTATCATCATCATCAATATGCAGAAAAATAATGAAAGAAACAAAGGCAAGGTACAGTTTTCTACTGTTATTTATGTCTCAGGTACAGACAGACATCTAGAAGTAGATTTCCTAAAAACAAAGCTAAGATGCAGAATCTAGAGCTGAAGTGAAATATTTGACTAGTGGAGGCAATTGTGACATGTAAGAAGGTTTTTCTATTTTACTTTGTGGCACCTGGAGACAGGGCAGAGCTAAATAACACCTAACAGGCAACTCCAGGCACTCAATACCAGCCCAGAGGGTTCTTGCAGCTCATTTGAGAGTGATGGTGAATGGATTCTCTTTAGGAGCTCTCCAATAAGCCGAGAACACAGCTGTCAGGGAAAAAGGGAAAAGGTTCCTTTTTATTTCCTAATATATCTGTTTCATGTTTCAACATGTTTTTTCAGGTATTCCTGCTTTTATCAGCTTCTAACTTTTTTTGCTACTTCTGAACTCATTGTTTTTTAAATAATCCTTATCACCTCTTGATGTACTCAAATCTTCCTCCCCGGGCAGGGTCCCCATCCTAAACAAGTACTTGCCCTCCTTCTTTAACTGCCAGTGTATTTTTAATTCCT